TTCGATGGAGTGTTTTTAACCACATGACACCACATGGAACCAAGATTTTAACAATTAAAAGAAAAATTGAGATCAGTACAGTGGGAGCCTGATCAACTGATTATATGACTAAGCCTGCCATGATGGTCTAAGAAAAGAGTCCTCATATCCTAAGGACTACGATGTTAAAGCTATGTGCAGTTACCACATAGGAAGCTCCAGACATTCCTCTGAGAATTGTAAGGCACTTAAGCGCAAAATCCAAAACCTGGTGGATCCAAGGGCATGGACAATCGAAGAAGGGGCATTGCATCTACCATTTGCACTGAGAGCATTGTTTTGTTTGAACACTTTTTTGATCTTTCATGATTGCTTAATCTTTTAAATGACTGAATTTATGCTACCTTCTAAGGTGGAATAATCGAACAAGTTTTAATATTTAGTTCTTCGAATATTAAACGAATTAAAGATTCTTTTAATTCTTTAAGAATTATAGATTTTTGACATATGGCAAGATTAGACATTTCTTATCCTGTCTCAAACCCCAAAATAAAAACCTTGATTCTTTACCCAAAATAATTCATGGTCATTACCAAAATACCAGCTTTTGACATTACAATCCTTTGAAATTTTTGAACCTTTCTTTGAGTCAATAAAGTCACTCCACTGTCTTTTTAGACTCAAAATTGACTTTTTTATACCATTAAGACCTAAGGCATTGAGTTGTTCATTTTAGCATGAACATTCTTCTAAGACACAACTTGGGGCATTTCGTAGGGAGACTGCACATTGAGACATGTTGGGAGCAAGAAACGGAAAGAATAATTCAATTGAAATAATTCTATCATGCATTAATTACATTGTTTTCATGTGAATAAAATTAATCCTGAAAATCTATCCCCCTGGGATACCTCTTCTGTGAAGACTTCCATGTGTGAAATGATGAACGACTTTCTTTCTTTATCCCTTCACAACATGAGAAAATATATATCTCTTGTGTCACCTTTTGAGCTTATAGTATTTTTCTTATGATTCAACCCTAACCAAGGATCACCCTCCACACTGGGGGGCAAGGTGGAGGAAATCTGCTCGCATGAGTGAAGACATCAATTCAAAGGAGATACCAAAAGGCGAATCAAATGCCAAGTGCGAAGATCCAATCAGAACAAAAAGAAAGAAAGAGAAAAAATAAAGAAAAAGCAAAGAGAAAATAAAAAAGTGAAAAAAGAAGACAAGACGCATATGCGAAGATTCTCTCGATTCAAATTACGCATCGAGATTCAGATTGATCAAGCACAATCATTTCAGAATCACTTTACTCGAAGATCATGGAGCATCCAGAGAAAATCAAGAGAAACACATACGAGCAGATTCAAATTGAGCAAAACAAGATTGAAGGCATCAGAATGAATTGATCATTGGTTCAATACCCTGAAATACTTGTTTGGGCCTATTTATCCTTTTCTATCATAACCATGAACCATGACCTACATTACGTGTCTTAAAAGTCCATTCTAATCATGTATGAATTTCTAAACAAAATAAAATATCTTCAGATTTCATCACGCACATCAGGATTAATCTTTATTTGCAAAAAGTTTTCTAAAATCTTTAATGTATGATAAAGAAAAATAACAAGGGGGGGTTCAAGATGTCTTGAAACCAAAGGAGGATTCGAGTTGAAAACCTGAAAAGGTGGCTCGAATATAAAAATTATACATCTGAGGCGATCACACAAATTCCTTGATAAGGCATCGTACAATCCGAGCGTGACCATGAAAGCTGGGAATCAGAGAACACTTCCAATGAAAGAGCATGCAAGCTACCCCATCAAACCTTTGAGAATCAAATAAAAAAAATGCCAAACACAATAACATGAGACTTTTATCATTTTCTTACTTAACTATTTCCCAAAGATAGCTTTGATCTTGACACTTGTCAAATAACTATAATTTATTGAAGGGTTAACCATGTAATTAATTCTTTTATATCCAATGAACTCTAGTTTTATTATTCTTCTTAATTATAAAACCAAGAAATGGGCAATATTTTCAAAACTTTTGATCAAACATTTTTCAAAACTCTTCTAATTGATATTTTCAGATCTCGAAAAAAGAAGAAGAAAAACACTTTTCAAACAAGACAATCTCTCTAGAGTAGATCTTGGTAAATGACATGTGGCTCAGATACAAAACTCATGCTTAGAATAAATGTTGAAGCAAGAAATGAGGAACAATGAGGGCATCTTTGAAGATTCAACATCAAATGTTGAGGCATTTTCGGATATTCAACATCGAATATTGGGGCATTTTTTGGGATTCAACATCCATATGTGAAATGACCAGATCTTCTGAAGGTCTTTCCTCCACATGCAAGGCCAACAAACAAAAATGAGGCTCTACAGAATTAATTCATGTTGCATGCATCTTAGACATACTTAAAAGTATCACATTTATCATTTTTAGCATACATAATTTTTTGAAGCTTTTAGAGTCAAGTTTCAATCTCAAGACGAAAGATACTTGATTCAAAAGCACATTCAGTACTTGATGGTGGTTTCTCAACTTCACAGCGAAGGGGCGACTGTCAACAAACAACTTTCCAGTTTTATTCAGAGTCAATTTCAACTTCACAGCGAAGGATATTCGACTCAACAAATAATTTTTCAGTTTCATTCAGAGTCAATTTCAACTTCACAGTGAAGGATATTGGACTCGAAATAATACAAGATTGGATTTCAACTTCACAACGAAGGATATCCAATTCAAAGCTCAACTTCACAACGAAGGGTTCATCCACGATTTCAACTTCACGACAAAGGATATCGTGCCAACTCTGGATTGGATTTCAACTTCATGATGAAGGATATCCAATTCAAAGATCAACTTCACGGCGAAGGGGCTTCCCAGTTTCATTCAGAACCAATTTCAACTTCGTGGCGAAGGATATTCAAGCTAAGGCTCAACTTCACAACGAATGGGCCATCCACGGTTTCAACTTCACGACGAAGGGAATCGTGTTCACCAGTAACATTCATCTTCAGCTTGGATTTCATTTTCACGACGAAGGATATTCAAGTTAAGGCTCAACTTCACAACGAATGAGCCATCCACGGTTTCAACTTCACGACGAAGGGAATCGTGCTCACCAACAACATTCATCTTTAGATTGAATTTTAACTTCACGACGAAGGATATCCAATTCGAGGCTCAACTTCGCAACGAATGGGCCATCCACGATTTTAACTTCACAAAGAAGGGAATCGTACCCACCAGCAACATTCATCTTCAGTGTGGATTTTAACTTCACAATGAAGGACGTCCAATTAAAAGCTCAATTTCACAGCGAAAGAGCCATCCACAATTTCAACTTCACGAGGAAGGCTATCGTGCCTGATGAAGTGATTTAGCGTAACAACAAACGTGTCATCCACATATTTGACTATCTTAAGTCAACGATTAGAGCTTATGAAAGGATTTCTTTAACATGTAGGAACAAGCAGATTATCGATCGCCATTGAGATTGTTTCTCTCGAAACAAGGGGTAGTCTCGCTTGAGACTAATTTACTCAAAACAAAGTTTTGTCTCTCTTGAGACAGTTTCTCTTAAAACAAATTTTGTCTCTCTTAAGACAGTTTCCCTTGAAACAAATTTTGTCTCTCTTGAGACAGTTTCCCTTGAAACAAATTATGTCTCTCTTGAGACAGTTTCCCTTGAAACAAATTTTGTCTCTCTTGAGACAGTTTCCCTTGAAACAAAATCTTTGAATATGTTTTACATTAAACAAATTTCGTCTCTCTTGAGATAGTTTCTTTTGGAACTAAGTTTTGTATCTCTTGAGATAGTTTCTCTCGAAACAAATTTTGTCTTTGTCTCTCTTGATACAATTTCTCTTGAAACAAATTTTGTCTCTCTTGAGACAGTTTCCCTTGAAACAAATTTTGTCTCTCTTGAGACAATTTCCCTTAAAACAAAATCTTTGAATATGTTTTCCTTGAAACAAATTTCGTCTCCCTTGAGACAGTTTATTTCGGAACTAAGTTTTGTCTCTCTTGAAACAAATTTTCTCTCTTGAGACAATTTCCCTTGAAACAAAATTTTGTCTCTCTTGAGATAGTTTCTCTTGAAACACCAATCTTTGAATATGTTTCTCTTGAAACAAAATTTTGCCTCCCTTGAGACAGTTTCTCTTGAAACACAAAAAATAATCTTTGAAAATGTTTCTCTTGAAACACCAAACTTTCGAGTTCGACTACGCTCAGCTCCAAGGCACGTCATTTACAACATAACTCAAGGCTAGAAGGGTTATCTGTCAACAAAGACCTTCGAGTTCGACTCCACTCAACTCAAAGGAACCATCATTTGTGGCATAGCCCAAGGCAAGAAGGGCTATCTGCCAAAGACCTTCGAATTCGACTCCACTCAGCTCAAATGCATCATCATTTGCAGCATAGCTTAAGGCAAGAAGGGCTATCTGCCAAAGACCTTCGAGTTCGATTCCATTCAGCTCGAGGGCATATCAACCGCGTTGCATCAGTAATGAACTATTTTCTGGTTAAATTTTCACACCAGGTCTTTAAATCGAGAAGAAGACCAAGGTCGACCAAGATTGGCAACAAAAAGTCACTTTCCGATTTACCTACGATTTTGACTTCATGAAGAAGGATATCGTGCCCTATGGATCGACTTAGTTTCACAACAAACACTATAAAGTCTCCAACCAAAAAGAACCGGACAAAAACTTGTTGTCTTTATTTATCTTTGCCCTATTCTTGTTAACACAAAAATGTACAAAGAGAGAAAACTGTAGACACCCGTTTTTATCTGGGTCTACAAAAACATTATATTATATTATGTTATATTATTAATTATTATTATTTTTATTATTAATTATTTTTTTCTTACATATGTTTTGCAGCTAATCACGTGAAGTGTCAACCTCCAAATAAATCCACTAACTACTCCAACTACAAACATATCATTCAAACTACCCACCACTACACCACTAAACCCACTACCACATGCATACAACCTCAATCACGGAGTAATTTGGGGGTAGCGGGGGCCACGTGAATATGAGCTCTTCTTCTCTCTTTGATTGGGAAACCAGGGTGCTTTTAATATTTAAACAGAGTCTTTGATCCAAAGGGGGAGAGGGGCTTGAAAAGGAAAAAAAACAAAAAAGGCAGTGGGGACGAGAAGTTTCAAACTTCACCCTTTGAAGATAGTAACTTGCACTGCTTGGAATCTGTTACCAAGCCAAGCGATGGAGCTTCCACCAACCCAAGTCGACACCGCTCTCCTCCAGAACCGGAACCCACGAAGAAACTGAGCTACAAGTGCAGCGTTTGCAGTAAAGCGTTTAACTCTTACCAGGCTTTGGGTGGATATAAAGCCAGCCACCGTAAGCTTTCGGGAAGCAACGACGACCAGTCAACTTCGACAACCGGTACATCCGATGGAGTCATCGATTCAGCCGCGGCGAGCAACCCAAGTGGGAGGTCCCACGAGTGTTCTGTCTGCTACAAAACCTTCTCTACAGGTCAAGCCTTGGGAGGCCATAAGCGATGCCACCACGAAGGTAGGGTGGGGAATAGCGCCAGTGCCGTTACTACATCTGAAAGAGTTGGCTCAACAATACCACGACCCACATCAGCAACCGAGGCTTTGACCTCAACATGCCCGTTGTCGAAATTCTCACCGGCTAATTTCATTATCTTTGTCGCGAGGCGTGTTGCTGCTTTTGTCCGGGGGGAATGGAAGAGAGAGAGGGAGAGATGTCACCCACTTAGCTACTCAATTTGACAGATCAGGTGACTTTCGCGAGACCATGGAGAACCAGATTCCATCTTCTCTTCCAAGTATGTCAAGGAGCACTTCTGTAGTAGTAGCCCAAAGAGATGTATCCAACTTCTTCCAATGCCTACGTTTTGACGCCAAGGTGGTTGCCGCTGATTATAAGTCGGGTTGTCTAGTAGGCATTAAACGGCACATTAATGTTGCTCTTGGCATTTCTGCTGATGAATCTCCCACTGTATCGTCAAAAGGAAGTTGCTACCATCTCCCATACCTGAGGAAATCAAACGAGTTAGGGCCGATCTACGTTATTCTTCTGTCAAAGCGAGATGGATATGCGGAATAATGCTTTTGGCCAAACAACTTGATAACAATTGCTCTTCATCGTTAACGAAGATCGCATGTTTCACGAGATAATCGGAGGAGAACCGCGAATTCTTCGCAAGAATGGACAGTTTTTTTTACGCAGTGTTTGATTCCATGAGGATTGCGGAATCAGACATCAAGTTAATCGAACAAATTGTTAGGATTTTGGATTTGATACAAAGCAAAATTCTAAACAAGAAGTCGTCGCTGGAATCAGACTGCTTGTCAACGTTTCTTCTCGTTCTACAACGAGGAGCTTCTGATCCGCAAATTCAATCGCTTCGATTACTGGAGTCCATAGCGATTGATGGAGAATCCAAGCTAAAGTTAGCCGAAAAAGAGGGATTCCTCTAGAAGCCCCAGTCGTGGTTGATCTCTCTCTAGAAGCAGAAGTCGTAGCCGAAGCCGTGGTCACAGCTACAACCTACAACCAACGCAGGAGCCGCGGGTTTTTTCTTTATTCTTATGGAAGAAATTTACTTATGCCTTGGACATTACGTGTAAAGCAAATTTACTTGAGCCGTTATTTAGATTTTTGCATTTTGATTTTCTTTTTTTATTATTTATTTCGTTTATTATTATTATTTTTATTAGTTTTATTCATCTTTATTTATCTATTTTGTTTTATTACTATTATTATATTAATATTTTTTTTATAATCTAACAATATTTTTGACTTTTAGGGGAGATTTTAATTTATCGAAGATAAGAAATTCAAATCAGATTTTTAAATATAAATTTAAATTTTTTAATTTTCACAATTAAGACAATTGACAAATTAATTGGTACTGAAAGGTCGATTCAAGAATGTTAATCATTCCTTGACTGTAACCGACTCTCGAACCCGACACATTTATGGTAAAATGCAGATCAAGTATGATGATATCCAGCATGCCTAAATTCGTTTTAAAATGATCGGTGGCGACTCTAACCCAATTATTTAAGTCGAAAACCAATTCCGGACCCAACCGAAAGACGGCTGCGGCAGAGTGATTGTACTATGACAAAGCCACGGATTCAATCGTCAAACTACAAATTTTATTACAGTATCATAAAGAAGGTGGTAGAGTGTGCAAATGCATCGATAGAAAAGAACATTTATTTTAGGCTAAATATAAAAATTTCAAGAGTGAACATTTCCTCTCTACATTCAGTTGTCTTTTGGGATGTCAAGGTTCGCAAATATCGGACTGTCGACTCCGACTCCCATTGCATTTAGGCCATTTTCGACATACACAACGGCCCCCGTGATAGCCGAAGACAACGGTGATGCCAGAAAAGCAGCACCATTTCCCACCTCCTCTGTCCAGTTATAAGGCAGAAAACAAAACGTATTTAGACATCAATGCATAATGTTTTCGGTACGAACTCCGAATCTTAATCCATTTCCCTGTGATACTATGGTATAAACTTGAATGGTGATTCTTCGTTTTTAGTACCATGAAATGCAGATACAAGTCGTGGAGGTTCGTGACTCACCTGCTGATAGTTCTTTCTGCAGGGGTGCGTTAGCCAGTGAGTAATCGATCATCAAGTCGATAAATCCAATTGCTTTTGCAGCTCTACTCAATGGACCTGATACATTTTTTAGCACAAAAACAAGATGTGGTTCGATATATATAGCACTATGTATTCTTGACAATGGTAAAGCTGCGTTTTACTCGATACGGACTGAATCACAAGATACAGAACCGGACATACTTCCATGTAAGTGATCGAATTTCTACGGAACAAAAGCATGTTTTTCTAACAGTATTCCTAACCACCATATTAGAGATGCAAAATAAAAGAAAACCCCAGCCAGACAATTGGAGGCTTACTAATTACTCTAAGTACTTCGGTGGCAGATCTCATTTGGCTAAAGTTTGCAATTTCCTTATAAATAGTCCATCTGTAATTCTTTTCATAGTTCCTCCACGCATGCAGTTAGGCTCGGCAGGGAAACTAACGGAACATAACTATCTCCGCCTCTCCGGAAATGTTTAATTATTAAGAAAATATTTATCATTTTTCATGCATGCCTGTTCCGGGGTGAAGAGGGATGTATTTTCTTATTGACCTGCAGAAATTGTATTGACTCTGACTTTGTGTTTTCTTCCAGCTTCAAAAGCCATTACCTGTATCAAGAAAACACCAATTCACCAATGGTATGACAAAACTGAAAGAGACCGCAAAATATTGCAAATCGAAGAGAGAAACAGAAAGCAACCCCAAGAAGAAAGGAAAAACTCACTCAGAGTATCGCTCTCCAAAGCATACTTTGCCGAACTCATGCCTCCACCATATCTACCCATAGTATGGCATGATCAAAAAGTAAACAAAAGATTTACAAGAAAAGGTTTCGCAAATAGGCAATTATAAATAGCAAAATACGCAGGGATTATTTTTTCAGAAGCAATGTATGTTAGAGAAATCGAAGAGCCTCCTGCAGCACCAATAGGCAAGTTTAACTTCAAACAACAATTGTATGTTCCTTTCCATGGATTTGTTAAGAAGAAAAATTACAGTGAGATTGGATGAGAAACATGCCAGGATTCATTACTGGAAGGAAATGCTTGAGTAGAGAAACATAGGAGTAACTTCATGCAGATAGGGCAGCGAGATATACTGATAGGGAAGCGGTGGCGGGTTAATGAACGTTGCTCTTGTTAAAGAATCAAACCTAGAAAGCTCTAGACTCGATTAAGAACAAAGGGAATGAATAGGGGAAGGTGGCAGCAGTAACTAGGATTCTTTAGGGTTTCTTCAAGGCAATAAGATTAGAACAAAATAAACAAAAGATAAAGAAATTGAAAATAAAATAAGATAAGATAACAATGAAATCAAAAGATCTCCCTTACGAAGGTGGACGGTAAAGATGATTGATGGTGCAGATGGATTTGTGAAAAAATAGATGGATAAGTGTCCTATCGAACCCTCCTAGTCGCAATGTAAAGGCAAACTCGATAAATGGCTCTAACCAACCCTCCTAGTCGCGATGAAAAGACAAATTGGAGTGTGAAGATTAATCTCCCTCACAAGAACTTGAAAGAACTCCAGGAGAAGAAGCTTCGAAGGAGCAAGGCAATCAGCAATTGCAAAAACGAACTCTCGTTATATTATTAATCAAAGAAATTTTGAATTACAAGTTTAATGAAGCCTCCTTTTTATAGAGGCTGAGTTCTAAAGGTCCTAAATAACTAATGAATAAAATAATAATAAACTAAACATATCTTAACTCTAATTCCTAATAAAATAATAATAACTAAAGAAAATATTTTTAACCAACTTTAATTCCTAATAAAATAATAAATCTAATCCTAAAAGATAATACATCATCCTATATTAAAGTTATATTACAAATAATCAATAAAAATATTGAAAATTCGTAATATTTACAATATTCCGTATTAATCCCGTATAGGATTTTCTGCATGCCCCGTCTTCAGTAAAATAGCCATATCTTGAGTTTTCGATATCGGATTGATGCGATTCAAGAACCGTTGGAAAGATAAGAGACAGAAGGTCGTATCTCCAGAAGATATCTTGACTAAATAAGATCAGGATACCATTCAAAAAGTCGTCGTAAGTCTGCTTCTGTTCTGATCTTCTTTTCCAATGCTTGGACCAGTGGATCATTTGGAAGAGTTATTACTTCTTCCTTTGATGTGAGCCTTGTGATGCATGTATCATCCTCCCTTTCTTCAAAAAGATTCGACCTCGATTCTGAAACATTAAAGGGAGCAACATTAGAATCGTTTAATGATTCATTCACATTATACTTACCGAATAGATATGCTTTGAATCTTCGAGACTTTGTTCTTCTAATAGGTCGAGTAGAAACATTAGTCCAAAGAAGCATGTATTATGGAATCTGGTGCATGTATCATTCCCCCACTCCTCAAAAGGATTCGTCATCGAATCTAAAAATCCAAAAGAAAGAGATTTAGATGTGTTGAAAGAAAAACTTGTGAAACATTTACCAGGATCAATGTGATGTGTCTTTATGCGTTTTAGTCGAGGTTTCTTCTTTGTAGGAACTGATTTCTTGAAGTCTTGAAATCCTCTTTTGCATACAAGCCTTGTAATCTGATGTTTTGGTTGAAATTCAACATGGCGCCGGCCACTGTTGGCTTTATGTATGATTATTTCGGATAATTTCTCCATGGCTTTATTTGTGTGTGGAGAGAATGAGTGTTTAAAAACCATGTCAACTGGTTTGTTAAAGTAATCTCTTAAGTCTCCTAAGTGGGGTTCATGAATTAAGGATTCCCGGGAGGAGCTTTGTGGACTGTAGAACTTGTTTAGTTGACAAGGAAACTCATATACAAGATAAAGCTCATTAAAAGCACTTTTAAAAGTATGGGTAGAAATATCAAAAATATCCGAGTTATCGTGATATAAATCTTTGATATGTTCAATTCTCGGAATAGTATTATGAGTTTGATAGGTAAGAGTATACCTTCGTGGTAGTGTATTGTCTACTGTGTTTTGCTTACCTCGGTATGTTACGCACTTAAAGGAGTTGTGTTTAGTATGGATGACAACTTCACGAGCCTTACCTTTGGACTCTCGTAAATCATGACTCTTCATTGATATCGCATAGTGATTAGGGCTTTCAGGTGGTAACCCGTCAGGAGGGTCACCTAGCACTATTCGACAACTCTTGGCGATAGAAGATGGTGTGGGCCAGTCTCGTGTTGTTTTTACTTTCTCATCATTTACATGGATTCCCTGTGCATGAACTATAAAGCATGTGGAGTTGTTCAAGTCATGTTTCGTCATTAAGATGACGTTACGACTAAGGCTTTCATGGATGTAGCCTATTTGTAACAAATTTAACTCTTTGGTTTCTTCGAGATTGTATGTTTGACGAGGTATGATGGAACCTTGAATTAGATTTGTTTGGTGTTGTTTTCCTTTTTCCAGTGGTAATCCGTCAGGTGGATCACCTAATTCTTCTTGAAAATCCTGTAACAAAGATGAAAACACACTAGGAAAACCCTTGTTAATGTTAGAAATCGAAACAATTGATTCTCTAAAGCGAACAAGGATGGAAGGTTGTTTGTAAAGAAGGTTCTCTCTCAATTGTTTTGTGCTCACACATAGATTTTGAGTCACTCTTTTCTTCTCACAATTAGGTTCACTCACCTCCCAAGGGTCATTATTCTTTTAGCTTTTGTAACTAGTGACCTCTTTTTCTTTTGCCTCTTTCTCAGCTTTTTCTTTTTTTGCTTTCCCTACCTCCTCACAAATTATCATTTGATCTTTAGGGGCTTGAAGTGTGTCATTCTTTACTGGTCGTTCTTTCTCCTTGTCAGGTTTGTCATCTCTTAGCTTTTTAAAAGAAGATGGAGCAGAAGACGAGGAAGGATTTGAAGGATTACCTTGGTAAGAGGATGAAGTACCTTGGTAATGTTCTCGGAATCTCCTTTGGATTTGTACTTCGATTGTCATTGCTTTCTTTAGTGTATCTTCAAGGTTTTCATACCCTTGTAGATCAAGAAGATCAGTGATGTTTGAGTTTAAGCCGATGACGAATCTTGACACGGTGACTTCTTCTTTTT